CTTCATTGAACATCTTGAAATTTCTCATCAAGATCCTGTCAAATAATGAGGCAGGTGAATGATGGTCACAGTGTATCTGAGGGTTCAGTTTAGGATTCCTGTTGCTTTGACTAAAACACTATGGAAAAAAAAAAAACAACAGTTCTGCTGCATCTTGAACCTTACTGTTTTGTTTTTGTTTTTTTTTTCTGTAGAAACACCTGTATCTGTGGCAAAAGCAAGTTCCTTGACTGATATTTTCTGAAAAATTAGTGCAAAATACAAATATAGACTGAAAAGACCAGTTTATTTTTTGCTTTTCTGCTGTAAGATGTCTGAAGGCCAAAAAGGGCTCCTTCTGAAATTTGTTCTGTGCTGGTATAATCATCTGTGTTACTGCTTTTGTCAAGCTTTGGCTTTTTTCCAGGTGTCCTAGCTGAACTAAGTAGAAAGAAAATAACTTTAGAACTCTTAAAATTCAGGGTGGATTCCCGTTCTGGTTGGCATCCTGAAATAAAATGGCTTAGGCTCAGGGCAGCTCTTGCTAATGCGTCTAAATAACTGATGGAAATGAGTGAAAAAGGTGGAGGCAGACTCTTCTCAGTGGTATCCAGTGACAGGACCAGAGGCAGTGGACAAAAGCTAAAATACATTGAAGTCGACTTTAAGATAAGAAAATACTTTTTTTTCTTTTTTTAGTGTGAGGGAGGTCAGGAGCAGAAATAAGCTGCCCAGAGAGTTTGTGGAGTCTCCATATGTGGAGATACTTGAAGTATCAAAGACACAAGCCTGAGAAACCTCTAGCTGACCTTGTTTTGACCAGGGGGGCTAGGTAGGCCTCAAGGACTTGACCAGGGGGGGACTAGGTAAACCTCAAGGTTTCACTTCAATGTGAGAAATAAAAAGGGAATTTTCAAGCAGGTGAGAACCAAAAAACTCATGTAGAGATAGATAAGCTTACAACGTTAATACTAGTTTTTCTGAGTATCATTCATGACTGTAACTTGTAATTTTAGACTTTAATATTTAAACAGGAAGTAAAATGCAAATCCATGCATATACTTTACATTGTATATTTTCATTACTTTCTGCTTTTGTTCGTTGGAACATAATATTTATGAAAGCTGACCTGTATGTGTGTTGAGCGTTCAAAAAAAGTTTATATGTCTAAATGATTTAGGAATAAACACAAAGTTACATATAAAACATCTGCTATATTTAGATTTTTGTCTTTAGAAGGTATATGAAAACTTTAATGGTATTTTGCTACCACTATTAGATCTTTTTATCTGAGTTTGCAAGTTGATAAAAGAACAGCAAATACTGTATTACATATATTATGTGGTCTCATGAAAGCGTAGATGACTTTTTTTTTCTAATGTAGTGAGTAAACTGGTCATTTTGAAAAAGACTGTTTGGATTTTTGCCTTTTGATCAGATAATCTACAAGAATATCAACTATAGTAAGTTAATCGATAATCCACAGTTAAAAAACCCTGCTGTATATTCTTTTAATACTCCTAACACCTCCCTGCCTTGTTTAAATAACAGTTGTCATTAAGGCAAAATGTTGTCTTGACTCTTAAAAGTGGGCCTTGCGATAGACATTTCTATGTATTTTTTCACATTCAATGAGAGCACCAACAGCTTCTTGATAATACAGAGTACAATGAAATGTTATTGTGTCAGCTGGTAGCTGTCATGAATCTGGCTAGTACAAATAAACTTCTGTGTTTCAGTGATCTCCATCTGACCTAATGCTCCCTGTGGCCATATAGAATAGTTTTGATAACTTGAAGGCAGTTATGAAATTCATTAGGGAAAAGAAAGGAATAGAATGTGTTTTATGTTTACTCTTTTGCACCTCAGTTACACCTGTAACAGTTAGAAAACTTAAGAACCAAACCCCATTCTTCTAATATGCAGTGAAAGGCTCGCCATGTAATGAGCTTTCCAAGCTACAGATGGAGCATAGACAAGGCACCACATGGTTTACTTTTAGTAATTTCTTCAGAACTTCATAAATATATTCAAGAAAAAAATAAGCATCCTTAAAACAATTAACACCTAAAATACTTGTTCTGCTCTATTAGAACAGACTATTCTACTATGTCCAGTGTCGGTGATTCAGAAATCCTTAATTTATAATAGAGGCTCATATTTTTATAGGCTTACTAAAAAGAAAACGAAACAAAGTGCTGAGTAATGTATCCACTCTTACTCAGTGTTGTTCAGTGGTATTGCTTCTAGATACCGAATTGATACTACCAAGTAGCAAAAGCAGACATGTTTGTTGTGCATAAACACAGAGAAACAAACATATTTGTTTGTAACCATATTTCCAAAAATGTGGTTTGGGGTGCTGTAACTGGTAAATGACTCCTGAAAAGTGACTTTTGTCATAGTTTCTTTAAGAATCCTGAATGCCTTTTGGTAGTTAAAACTATTTTTCTGTCCATGAAAAACATACAGTAACATAATTTTTGACTCCTTATTGCTAAAATACTCAGGACTTCCAAATGATAAAGTTCCTTTGTAATACTGCTTTCAAACAGAACATTAGAAAGTCCAGAGAAAACAATGTGTTTTTAAGTGAACCAAGTGTGGCAAGTCCCAGAGGGACCTTGACACGCTTGTAAGGTCGGCTAATGCCAGCCTTATGAAGTTTAACAATGCCAAGCGCAAGGTCCTACACCTGGGTCAGAGCAACCCCAGGCACAGCTACAGGTTGGGCAGAGAAGAGATTCAAAGCAGCCCTGCGGAGAAGGACCTGGGGGTGTTGGTTGATGAGAAAATGAACATGAGCTGGCAGTGTGCGCTTGCAGCCCAGAAAGCCAACCGTATCCTGGGCTGCATCAAAAGGAGCGTGACCAGCAGGTTGAAGGAGGTGATCCTGCCCCTCTACTCTGCTCTCATGAGACCTCACCTGGAGTATTGTGTGCAGTTCTGGTGTCCTCAACATAAAAAAGACATGGAACTGTTGGAACAAGTCCAGAGGAGGTCCACGAGGATGATCAGGGGACTGGAGCACCTCCTGTATGAAGACAGGCTGAGGAAGTTGGGGCTGTTCAGCCTAGAGAAGAGAAGGCTGCATGGAGACCTCATAGCAGCCTTCCAGTATCGGAAGGGGGCCTATAAAAGGATGCTGGGGAGGAACTCTTCATTAGGAACTGTAGTGATAGGACAAGGGGTAGCGGGTTAAAACTTAAACAGGGAAAGTTTAGATTGGATATAAGGAGGAAATTCTTTCCTGTTAGGGTGGTGAGGCACTGGAATGGGCTGCCCAGGGAGGTTGTGAACGCTCCATCCCTGGCAGTGTTCAAGGCCAGGTTGGACAGAGCCTTGGGTGACATAGTTTAGTGTGAGGTGTCCCTGCCCATGGCAGGGAGGGTGGAACTTGATGATCTTAAGGTCCTTTCCAACCCTAACTGTTCTATGATTCTATGATTGTATAAGTAATAAGCATGCCTTACAGAGCTATCTGATTGATTCTCCACTGAATGACCTGTGTATTATTTAAGAACAATTCCTTTTATCAAATTAAAACTATGAAGCATTATTTGAATGGTTTAATGACTAAAATCAGTATCAATCAAAACAGACAAGAGCTGGTGTAATCAATCTTTTGTATTATCTGTTGTCCTGGAAAATAGTTGCAAATATCTGTTGAAATTCATTCTGTCTTCAAAGAAAGTAACAGGAACATACATCTTTTAAAGCACATAGAACCTTCTTTTACTGCAGCTACACTCTGCAAACATTGAAAACATTACCAAATTGTTACCTTTGAATTTTTAGAATCTTATAATCATATTGATGTTCTAAATAAAATCAGATACTGTCGTGGTTTAAACCCAGTCAGGCAGCTCACTCACTCACTCTCCCCCTTCTTTCTCTCCTCCTACTCCTGGGGGGACGGAGAGGAGAATCGAAAAGAATGCAACTCCCAGGGGTTGAGATAAGAACAGTTTAGTAACTAAGGTATAACACAAATCACTACTGCTCCCACCAATAATAATAATGATAAGGGAAATAACAAGGGAAGAGAATACAACACCTCACCACCCACCGACTGATAACTCTCCCCAGCCCACCAGACTGAGCACCGACAGATACCTCGTCCAGCCCCGCAGTCCTAGCCCTTCCAGGTAACGCCCAATTCCATCCTGGGCATGATGTGCCATGGTATGGAATACCTCTTTGGTCGGTTTGGGTCAGGTGACCTGTCTCTGCTTTCTCCCGGCTTCCCCTCCTCCCTGGCAGAGCATGAGGCTCACAAAGTCCTTGGCCAGATCAAAACATCATTGTTATCAGCTCTGTTCCCAGGCAGAAAGTCAAAACACAGTGCCGCACCAGCTACTAAGAATCAGAAAAATGACTGCTACTGCTGAACCCAGGACAGATATCTATCTAATTCATGGAGATAAGATTCTTTGTAATCAGATATGATGTAGATTTTGGTCCAAGTTTTCTTCTGTGTTGTCAGTAACAGGTATTCACAAAAGCATACAAATAAGAAGAAGGACATAATGAAAAGGGGATTCTTTTATCATTTATAGTGCCTTTGACCTCCTACATTCTTTCTTAAAAGTATACTGAATGATACCTGGTTCATTTAATCCCAAACACTGAAGTACTTAGTAGTTTACACATGAGAAGATGCCTTTCCAATACTAAAGCTTAAGGGAATTTGCATTCCACATTTGATAATTTGTGGTGGCGTTTCATCTTACAGAAGATTCACAGGTGTTTCTGTCAGCATTAACTAAACTAGGTGGTTCTCCAAGTGGATAAAACCTGTGATTTAGAATAAGTAATTTTGCTTTTGCACCAGTAAATTATGGAAGAACCTGCATGTGACTTTTATTCACGGTGCAGTCTAGAAAAAGCTATGCACAGAAAAACAATATTGTTTGTTTGTTTTTTTTCTTATTTTTTAATAGTTCAATTAGCTCCAAGTACTTTAAGTTGCTGATTTCCATTTTGCCACCATGTCATCTCTTTTTTTTTTTTCTTTTCAGGTGCACATGTACAACAGGATGGACAGGGCCAGACTGCAGCGAAGATATAAATGAATGTGATTCTGAGCCATGCTTGAATGGAGCCACCTGTTATGAATCTGTTAAGCAGGGACAGTTTGTATGCATTTGTCCTCCATTTTATACTGGTAACTTCTGCCATCAGCGCTTCAGTCCCTGTGAGCTGCCTTACAATCCATGCATAAACAATTCAACCTGCTTGGCACAAGCCAATGGAAATCCAGTGTGCATTTGCAAAACAGGTAAGAACTGGTGTAGTTACTCTTTTCAGTTGTCTGCTGTTCTGCAGAAAAATTGCAATGATTTGAATTTAATGCTGTCTTTAGGGAAAGAGACCATGTATTACCTATCAAAGCAAATCAAACCTTCATTAATTGCAGCAGGCTTATCAGTTATGGTAAAAGACTTAAGATAGATGTCAGTTTGCCTACTATCAATTTCTTATATTACAGTACTTATTAAATCTATGTCTGTTTAGATACCAGCATTCAGAATTATTATGTCTGTGTAAATTGTTACAACATATAGACATGCCTCTAGCCAGCAGACCTGACATACAAAATTGACAGAATAGAAAGGCAGAAATAGACAAAATATATGCAAATTCTTAAGAGTAAAAAAAATTATACATGTTGAAAATGGTTCCTTTTCCTGCTGAGCTGTCAGGAATGCCTGGCATATCAAGGGAGTAATCTTCTGCCTAATGGGCAGAGCGGATTGCTCTCCGTATACACAACAAGCTAAGTCACAACAGGTACTGACAGATTTCCTGGGCCATGGCTTAAAAGACATGATCTCTCCCTAGATGTACAAGAACTGTGCATAGTTCATATATACAAGTTCTTTTCCATCAAGCAAGAGTTTAATTGTGCAGAACATCACTATGCAATTCTGCAAAGGATTTGAAGAATACATTAACAAATGAAAACTGCAGTGAAAATGTAAGAAGTGAAAGTACAATTATTGAACCTGCAATTTAGGCAGAATTTTGAAGTCCTCACTTTTATATCTATAAATGGTAGGGGTGTCCTGGGGACGAAGGACAGTAAATATGTTAACTGTGTTAACTGCAGTATTATACCACAATAGTATTACTTTTTGTTTACTGAGCTTCAAAGATACAGAGATAATACATACAAGTCAGTAATGCTTATAGCTCAGGTTTTTTACTATTACGGTAAAGGTTACCACAAGTTGCTGAGTTAAAAAAATGGTCTCTGGGGAGGTATGCACGTTGCTTAATGAAGCCACTTGGAGAAAAGCTGCTTTTTAAAAACACCTTCTAATACAATATAGTGATTTTGAAACATTTTACAGAAATGATCTGTAGAGAGACATGTACTTAAGTCTTTTCTCAACATTCTTACAAAAAGTCTTCTTTTCAAAACATTTTTGTGCACAGTATCAAGAATCCAAAAAACTTGCAGTCAAGATTCTTAGAGAAATTTAGTGGAATCTTCAAGTATTCTTGAAGCTTGCAGCTAGGAATCTTCAGGCAACTAGCAGGCGAGTTATGTGAACCAGTAACATGCACTGCTAACAAATCTTGTAAAGTGGAAAATACTTCAGTATTGCAAAGGTGTAAAAGGCATAATTCATGAAATGAGTTAATCATTCATGCTAGGAAAAATAGAGCCACTTATTCAGGACTCTTATCAAAAAAAGGAGAGGCAGTAAAATACAGAAATTTAATTGAAAGCGATTTATTGAAATTATTTCTACAGTTGTCTTTTTTTTCTTTCATTCTCCTATTTTTATCTGCCATGTGCCTCCCTTTTTCTCCCAGTAAACCTGCCACAATTACAGATCTGATTACAAACAGCAGTCACACTGACAGAGCTAGATTACTCCAAGATATCAGACTTGGTAACAAATGGCATGTGGTTAAATAACTTGCCAGTAGTTACCAGTCCAGTTATTAGAAGGTATGGGTCTGATTTAGCAAGAGTCACAAAAAGTAGCTGTGCTTACCATATTCTAAAGATTATCTTTACAAAACCATATGTGAGGTGGGTAAAATAGGGCCACAAATCATGCTACTGACTGTGGTACATATTTAGAAGAAAAAGAGAATATCCACTGACTACAGGGAGCTGGGATTGGAATGCCATACTAGGGCAGAGAGGACAAAAACTGATGGAGTACAAATTGGGCACAATCAAACTTCTTGTAAGATGCTAGCCTAGGACAGAATTATTACGGCAAATTGGTAGGGAGCTCATGAAGTCATGATTAGTAGTAGTATAAAGAAAAGATACACATCTTTGTTCTTCTGTGTATGTTAGGGAGTTACAGTTGTGTGGTTTTGCATTGAAGATTTTTAAAATCCAATAAATAATATAAATGTAAAGCTTCCTTTTGAGGTGTCTACCCTAGCTGTAAAAGTTTGCTTCCTGCAAGGAGACAGATTATAACATTCGTAATGCAAAACTTGGCTGTCATATGGTAGACTATGGAGCAGTGTTAAACTGTAAGTTTAAGTTAGGTTGTCCACACAATTAGGTTGTGATCTCTACAATTGTATGCTGGTATATTCATGGTCGCAAGAATGTTGTAGGGGAGCCTATTATTGCAAAAATTCAGGAATCACTGCAGTAGAGCCCATTTGCCAAGAGGTTTACAGAAAATATCTGTTCTCATCTACTTTGCCAGTGATTGATAAGCAAGGGTTTGATCAAGGCAATAGGAAGGAGATGTCTTTTATGCCGTTATGCATATACCCAGCACTGAATCCTGCCATTAGTTCCTCCTGAAATGCTGCATAAAAAATTCAAATGAAACAAAAGAGGAAAAGACAACTTAGGGCAAATAGTAGAAAATTTTATGGCTTAATTTATCAACAAGTTTTTCTGTTCTTGAATAATTCAATTCTTGAAATTAATAATAGAAATGAAAATTTACTGTGACAGAAGAGAAGGTTAGGAAACATGAGCAAAGCTATAGTATACGAATCATGTTTAAATAGTTGGAGATGAGCATGAGCAACTAACTGTTCATAAATTCCCTGGGAGATCTATAGGCAAAAGATCAGAAGAGCAATTCAACTGCACACATAAGAGAACTAGAGGGTTAATTAAAGTAGTGGATGGACACTAGACTGTGATGTTCTACATAATTCCAAGCACAAAAGTGTTAGTTTCATAAAGGCAACCAAAAAAGAAGACAGGACAGTTTGGTAAAAATAGTGCAGCTTTCTTAGAACAGTTGTGTTCCAAGAAAGAACAAATTACTGAAAAAGATATATTCAAAATGAAGGAAAACTCTTGCAAATGCAGGGTGCATGTTCTGAGTTCAGCAGTAGAAGTCATTTTTCTCCTTAGTAGCTGGTGCAGTGCTGTGTTTTTGACTTTCAGCCTGGGAACAGCACTGATAACACCAATGTTTTTAGTTGTTGCTAAGTAGTGTTACTCTGACCAAGGACTTTGTGAGTCTCATGCTCTGCCAGGGAGGAGGGGAAGCCGGGAAGAAGCAGGGACAGGACACCTGACCCAAACTAGCCAAAGAAGTATTCCATACCACAGCATGTCATGCCCAGTATATAAACTGGGGCAGTTACCCGGAAGGGCTAGATCACTGCTGGGGTTGGGCTGGGTATCGGTTGGCAGGTGGTGAGTGGTTGTATTCTCTTCCCTTGTTATTTCCCTTATCATTATTATTATTGGTGGCAGCAGTAGTGGTTTGTGTTATACCTTAGTTACTGGACTGTTCTTTTCTTGACCCATGGGAGTTACATAATTTTGATTCTCCTTCCCATCCCTCCGTGAGCGGGGGGAGGGAAGAAGGGGGGAGTGAGTGAGAAGCTGCATGATTCTGGATTGCCGGCTGGGCTTAAACCATGACAGTGCAAGATCATATCTCTGGCTAAGAATGTTGAACAGCAGGCCTACAAAATGGTGAAATGGGAGACATAAGGATAGACCTGAGGGAATTCATTTCACCCAAAAGCAGAGGTACAAAGTCAAGTAGTTTGTGCTAAATATTTATGTCACTCTGCTGACTCTATAGGCAGCTTAGGAAAATTTGTTCAAATTTGTAATCTTTTTTGTGCTCATTTTGTCTTTAAAGTTATAAAGCTAGTAAGTGAGAAGATGAAAAATGTACTTATGCAAGAGGAATTGCTTGGGTCATGAGATTACAACCACCAGTTTTAGGGTGTAGAGAAATTACGTGTCATGTTCCAGGGAAAGATGACAATGAGATCTAAGGACAATACCATGCTGTCTCTAAGAAGCTAGAGTTTGGACTAGAATTAGCCACCTTTTTTTTTTTTTTTATCCTCCTAAATACTCTTTCTAAAAGAAAGACTTTATGGCTCCTTTCTTGATGCATCGGGGTAATTTCTGAAATCTTTGTTTTAAACAGCTCTTTTCAGGACATTCTCACCCCATTTATTGGGTTACTGTCAGTAATTCTTTCCTGTGACACCTTTTTTAAAGCCCTTTTTCCTAGCATGCTAATGATAATTTTTTTTTTGGTCTATAGCATTTTACAGCTGGAAGTTTGAAATGAGATATAATATTTTTCAGCCCATGTCTCAAATAAGACTAACTGAAAGTTATCATAATGTACAAAATTAATAATATCAAGCAGAACTAGTAAGTAGATGCTAAAGAACAGAAGTTTGATATTGTCAGATTTCTGAGAATGTCAGTGCCATTTTCTTTCAGAAATATATGCAAATAATTCACAAAGGGAAACAATATTTTTACCGTATTTAGCATTTCATGCACCTTTGGTTTTGGTATGTGCACTTACCTGTGTTACACTGAATAACCTGAATACTTATACTAATGTTTATGGAGCTATTGTGATATCCCTGCTGCTTGTAAACATTGGTTGATAAATGGAAATAAATACAATCAATTATACTGTGATGATGAAAACAATAGAGAGCTTATGGAGAAAGAGCCCCATTAGTCCTCTGTGTTACCTGCATAGGTAAATTCTGTGATATTTCTCTGCAGTGCAATAAGGAGATGAAAATAACCATAACTGTAACACCAGATATGTATCTTCTGTGTTCCGTGTATTCCTGCACTTCACAGCTAACTTAAGTCCCAGAGTTGAGTTTCCAGGAGTAGCCACTTCCTCTATTTCAGAGAAACAGAAAGAACAATAAGATCTGTCCCATCTTAAGTAACAGCATTTAATGCTTCACCCATTGACAGCAACACTACTACAGTATTGGAATTTCTGTAAACTAAAATGAATGTATCATTCTTCCTGCATGTAAATTACAAAC